ACTAGGAAAAACTCAAAAATATAGTTTTTTTTCTCAAAATTGGCAGACTTTTTTTTTATAGCGCAAAAAATAAAAACCACAGAGACAATCAAATACCACTGAAAGAAAGTTCTATTTGTTGGAAAAAAGGACATAAATTGCATTTAGTGCAATGTTGCATGACTGCGCAATTGTCAGTTAAAATAACGCAGTGCCGAATCGCAGAAAATGGCCTGGTCAGGAAGGGGTGTAAGTCCTCTGGAGGGCAAGTGGTTATCGGATGTGGACATTAAATGGATGTAAACAGATGATCATCCAATTACATCCGCAAGTGTATAGAAATACATGGGTGTCCGTTTTTTCATCCATAAGCAGACAGATGAAAAACGGACATACAGAATGCCCATGTGAAAGGGGCCTTACTTTCAAGAGCTTTCAGGAAACAGTGCTAGAGACTGTTGCCTGATCCAGCAGCATAGATATATACAGTATATATGAGCCGCTTTAAGAAACACTTACTTTATATCATTTTTGCTCCCATTTGCTCTCATTCTGTTGGGTGTTACGTAAACTGTATGAAAGACATTTATATACTACTACTAAAAATGTTACTAACTATCATCCATATTACTGGACCTTACGCTGGATATACAATAGTAGAATTTCAAAAGAACATTTGTTAAAAAATTCTCAGTACATTCGAATGTCATTCAAAAGTAGTTCAAGATTTTATTCACCCCAGCAAATATTCTTATTTCTGCTGGCTGAACTGCTGTAGGATGTTGCATTGAGGGCCCATTAACAACAGGATAGTCCATTGCGGTGCATTTATCGGCATTGCTTTAAAGGATAAGTTCACCTTTTACCGAAAAATAATAAACTCACTTTTTTTGCAGGTGAAAAAATGTGCATTTATTATTTTATGGTTCTGGAGCCTCTAAATCATTGCACCAGCGATTAACAGATTGTCTTCTGAAGACCTATCACTGTATCTGTGTGGCCGTACATCATACGGGCAAGCAGATACATTCTGCCAGGAAGACTCAATAAACTACGACAGTGCTCCACAATGCCGTAGCAGTTCATTGAAAACTACAAGCTGAAAGCCGCAAAGGCTGTTTTCTCATTCGCAAAATACTGTGAATGAGTGACATGGCTGGGTGGGCAGAGCCTTGCACAGCCACGTTTTTTGAAAAATTGTGACAGCAAGAGGGGGGAGAAGATCCCCGCTAGCTGTCAAAATGGGGGAGGGTGCCAAAACAGCATTTTTGACAGACACAATACAATGCATGGTAGTGAGTTGCACTGCAATGCAGTTGCATTGGAAATGTTTGTTGGTGTGCCATTTGCAATTAATGGCACTGCAGCACACCAATGCATGTAATGTGTGTTTCTGCTGCACACTCGTGTGAATGGTGCCCATGCTTACTCACTATATCATGTATTCCTAATAATTACCAGTTTTTATAATTACATGTTGAAATAATTAGGAATAAATTATTTCAAAGACCGCTTGAATGGATTGAAGATCTATACTAGATTCAAATCTGTTTGCGTATAGTTAATGGATTTTGTATTTTTTTTCCGCTTCCATTTTTCTACTCCTCTTCACTAATTTCCATGATAATTCTCAACTGTTAGAGCATGTGACACTTTTTTACTACTCCCTTGTGGTTGGCTTACCTCTTCTGTCCATCCACAAATGGCACTACTCGATTTACTCATGCGTTTCTGGCCCCAGCAGTCCTTTTTGCCCCCCACCCCACATTAGGTACCTTTACTTATGCCACAACTAGAAGTAGATTTCCTTATCTAAGAAAATGTCAAAGCCTATGTGCACAATGAGGTCCAGAGTCAAATAACCCTTACCTAGTTCAGACCTATGCATAAGTGCTACTTGTCAATCGGTAAATGAGAGAGCACTGACATTCTCCTGCCATTGATTAGCCTGGTGTTTCACAAGGAATTAAACATGTAGCAACGCTAAGAAATTCCACGTGCCTGTGGCATTTCTCTCCTTGGCCCCTACATCCACATGAGGATAAACTAGTGGATGTTCCTTCTCATTAACAACTTGTAACAAAATGTCTTCTAGACCCAAACAAGATGCATCAGTCTGCACAATAAATTCTTTTGTGTACTTCGAGTAGGGGGTGTCCGCACATAGCTGGCTTCAGTTTCTGACATGTCCTCTCAGCCCCAAGGCCATGTTTTGCTGTGCAATACTTCCTTTTAGTAAGGGCTATTAAAAGTATAGTTTCCTCCAGGTCTATGCTGCATTTCCTTGGGTTCATTGTTGAGCCTGTCTTGAAATTTAACAAGGCCTTACCTTGTGGAGATGAGTTTCACAATTGCTACTAAAAATTACCATCATCTACAGGTGAAACTCTAAAAATTTGAATATCGTGCAAAAGTTCATTTATTTCAGTAATGCAACTTAAAAGGTGAAACTAATATATGAGATAGACTCATTACATGCAAAGCAAGATAGTTCAAGCCGTGATTTGTCATAACTGTGATGATTATGGTTTACAGCTCATGAAAGCCCCAAATCCACAATCTCAGAAAATTAGAATATTACATGCAATCAATAAAACAAGGATTGTACATAGAACAAAATCGGACTTCTGAAAAGTATAAGCATGCATATGTACTCAGTACTTGGTTTGGGCCACTTTTGCAGCAATTACTGCCTCAATGCGGCGTGGCATGAAAGCTATCAGCCTGGGGCACTGCTGAGGTGTTATGGAAGACCAGGATGCTTCAATAGCTGCCTTCAGATCTTCTGCATTGTTTGGGCTCATGTCTCTCATCTTTCTCTTGGAAATGCCCCATAGATTCTCTATGGGGTTCAGGTCAGGCGAGTTTGCTGGCCAATCAAGCACAGTAATCCCACTGTCATTGAACCAGGTTTTGGTGCTTTTGGCAGTGTGGGCAGGTGCCAAGTCCTGCTGGAAAATGAAGTCAGCATCCCCATAAAGCTTGTCTGTGGAAGGAAGCATGAAGTGCTCCAAAATCTCCTGGTAGATGGCTGCGTTGACCCTGGACTTAATGAAGCACAGTGGACCAACACCAGCAGATGACATGGCTCCCCAAATCAACACAGACTGTGGAAACTTCACACTGGACTTCCAAGCATCTTGCAGTGTGTGCCTCTCCATTCTTCCTCCATACTCTGGGTCCTTGGTTTCCAAATGAGATGCAAAAGTTGCTGTCATCAGAAAAGAGGACTTTGGACCACTGAGCAACAGACCAGGTCTGTTTTTCTTTAGCCCAGGTAAGACGCTTCTGACGTTGTTTGTTGTTCAGGAGCGGCTTGACAAGAGGAATACGACATTTGAAGCCCATGTCCAGGATCCATCTGTGTGTGGTGGCTCTTGATGCACTGACTCCAGCCTCAGTCCACTCCTTGTGAAAGTCCCCAACACTTTTGAATGACCTTTTCCTGACAATCCTCTCCAGGCTGCGGTCATCCCTGCTGCTTGTGCACCTTTTTCTTCCACACTTTTCCCTTCCACGTAACTTTCTATTAATGTGCTTTGATACAGCACTTTGGTAATATCCAACTTCTTTTGCAATTACCTTCTGAGGCTTTCCCTGCTTATGGAGGGTGTCAATGATGGTTTTCTGCATAACTGTCAGGTCAGCAGTCTTTCTCATGATTGTGATTCCTACTGAACCAGACTGAGAGACCATTTAAAGGCTAAGGAACCCTTTGCAGGTGTTATGGCTTAATTAGCTGATTAGAGTGGGATACTTTGAACCTAGAATATTGCACCTTTTCACAATATTCTAATTTTCTGAGATTGTGGATTTGGGGTTTTCATGAGCTGTAAGCCATAATCATCACAATTATAACAAATGAACTATCTTGCTTTGCATGTAATGAGTCTATCTCATATATTAGTTTCACCTTTTAAGTTGCATTACTGAAATAAATGAACTTTTGCACGATATTATAATTTTTCGAGTTTCACCTGTAGATAAGCAGTACCAAATGTTGATGGGGCTAAGGAAATCATTCATCTTTTCTCTGAAATGTAGCCAGTGCTAGTGATGAGTGAATCTGCCTGGGTGTGATTTGTGGAAATGTTCAACAAACTTATAGAAAAACCCACAGATGGTGACCTTTAATGCAAACCCCACTGAAGTCAAAGGAAGGTGAATCTTAAAAAAACAGCTCTAATACCTACAATTGCCCCTAACATTATGCAACTCTCAATAGATAATGAAATAAACAATAATATCAGGGTCATCAATACAAAGCATAAACTTAAACATATAAAGTCTCTTAAAGGATAAGTATGGCCAAAACTTCTCTTCTGGATTACAGATTTGCAGCTTATTCTGCACTCTTGTTACCCATTTTCAGCTGACTGCAGACTAAAGAAGTCAGTAATCTGTTCCAGGCACTGTATTGATCCCAACTTTACTGTCAAGATTCACCCAGCAGCCTCGACCAGTAGCTGGCTCAGCCTCTTAGTGAGCTGCTGGGAGACTGAGCCAGCCCCTCTCACCCCCTGCTCTGCTCAGCGCTCCAGTGAGGGCTGGAGGAGCAGAGCAATCTGGGGAGAACTGAGCAATCAGTGGTGTTTGATTGCTCAGTTCTTAGTGTAGAGCTGGTGGGAGATGCAGCATTGGATTACACATTCACATAGGTATGTAATTTTTTTGAGGGGGAAACCCATACTTCCACTCTTCTGCCACCTTCATTGCCCTTGAACAGTGTTTGTTTTTTATTTTTTTATCACCTTATCAACCTTATTCTTTGCCTCTTTAACCACTTGCTTACAGGGCACTTATACCCCCTTCCTGCCCAGGCCAATTTCCAGCTTTCAGCGCTGTCGCACTTTGAATGACAATTGCGCAGTCATGCAACACTGTATCCATATGGAATTTTTATCATTTTGTTTGTGACAGAGCTTTATTTTGGTGGTATTTAATCACCTCTGGGTTTTTTATTTTTTCTTAAACAAACCAAAAACCACTGAAAATTTTGAAAAAAAAAGTTTTTTCTTAGTTTGTTATAAAATTTTGTAAATAAGTGATTTTTCTCCTTCACTGATGTGCGCTAATGAGGCTGCAGTGATGGGCACTGATAGGCTGCACTGATGGACACTGATAGGTGGCACTAATAAGGAGGCACTGGTAGGTGGCACTGATGGGCATTGACAGGCATCACTGATGGGCACTGAAAGGCAGAACTCATATATGGCACTTATAGGCAGCACTGATAGTTGGCACTGTTAGGTGGCACTGACTGGCACTGTTAGACGGCACTGATGCACACTGATATGTGGCACTGACTGGCACTGATAGGTGGCACTGATTGGCAGGACTGATAGGTGGCACTGATTGGCATTGATAGGTGGCACTGACTGGCACTGATGGGTGACACTGTAAGGCAGCTCAGATGGGCACTGATATGTGGCACTGATGGGCACTGGCAGGTGGCATGGATGAGCACTGACAGCTGGTACGGATGGACACTGACAGGTGGCACTGCTGGGGCTACACAGATCAACAGGGCACACTGATCATCAGTGCCCTGATGATCCGTGTACATGTCCCCTCCGAGAAATGCCGATTACCGGCTCTCCTCTCGAGCTGTCAGCGTGACAGTTCGTGAGGAGAGAAATGCAGATAACCTGAATTTCCCTATTTACATGCGATCAGCTGTGATTGGACACAGCTGATCACATGACCAAGCCGACATCTTCGGCTCTTTCCGTTGATCGGTGATCCACTGCATCCATCGTGGCGCGCTCCTGGAGCCGCGCATACGCAGTTAAAATGGGAGGACGTCAGATGAACGAGAGAACCGCCTTGCGTCTGTCATTGTACTATATGGTGGGCAGGAGGCGGTTAATCAGCACTGGGGTTTTTATTTTTTGCGCTTTAAATGAAAAAAACTACCAAATATAAAAAAAAAACACATTTTTCTTTGTTTCTGTTATAAACTGTTGCAAATAAGTAATTTTTCTTCATAAATTTTGGCCAAAATTTATACTGCTACATTTCTTTGGTAAAAATAACTTTAATCTGTGAATACTATTTGGTCTTTGTGAAAGTAATAGAGTTTACAAGCTATGGTACTAATTAGAGATGAGCGAATCGAAGTAGGCGAAGTGGAATTCGTTTTGAATATTAGGAAAATTTCGATTCGCGTCGAATCCGAAAATAAGCAGACTTCGGATGCGCAAATCAAAATTTTTCCTAAAATGGCGGCGACATGTGCGGCGACGGAGCGGGGGGATGTCTGGGAAGGCGCGCAGACAAGGCGCGCTGACCCATAATGCATTCATTCATGACATGTGATCGCATTAGCCAATCAGCAGCCAGCCAGCCAGCACAGTGTAATGGTTGAGCTATAAATGGCGGCCATTTTAGAATTCTCCATTTGCCTCCAGTCATTCAACAGAGGCAGACCTGGCTGTATTCAGGGAGAGAGTTAGGGACAGAGAAACATTACTTAGGGACACAGAAACGTTAGTTAGGGCCACAGAATCGTTACTTAGGGCCACAGAAACGTTACTTAGGGCCACAGAAACGTTACTTAGGGCCACAGAATCGTTAGTTAGGGCCACAGAAACATTACTTAGGGACACAGAATTGTTACTCAGGGACAGACAGAATTGTTACTGAGGGATACAGAATCGTTACTTAGGGCCACAGAATCGTTACTTAGGGCCACAGAATTGTTACTTAGGGACAGACACAGAATTGTTATTGAGGGACACAGAATTGTTACTGAGGGCCACAGAACCGTTACTTAGGGCCACAGAAACGTTACTTAGGGCCACAGAATTGTTACTTAGGGACAGACACAGAATTGTTACTGAGGGACACAGATTTGTTACTGAGGGCCACAGAAACGTTACTTAGGGCCACAGAAACGTTACTTAGGGCCACAGAATTGTTACTCAGGGCCACAGAATTGTTACTTAGGGCCACAGAAATGTTACTTAGGGCCACAGAATTGTTACTTAGGGACAGACACAGAATTGTTACTGAGGGACACAGATTTGTTACTGAGGGCCACAGAAACGTTACTTAGGGCCACAGAAACGTTACTTAGGGCCACAGAATCGTTACTTAGGGCCACAGAATCGTTACTTAGGGCCACAGAAACGTTACTTAGGGCCACAGAATTGTTACTTAGGGCCACAGAATCGTTACTTAGGGCCACAGAAACGTTACTTAGGGCCACAGAAACGTTACTTAGGGCCACAGAATCGTTACTTAGGGCCACAGAAACGTTACTTAGGGCCACAGAAACTTTACTTAGGGCCACAGAATTGTTACTTAGGGACAGACACAGAATTGTTACTGAAGGACACAGATTTGTTACTGAGGGCCACAGAAACGTTACTTAGGGCCACAGAAACGTTACTTAGGGCCACAGAAACGTTACTTAGGGCCACAGAATTGTTACTTAGGGACAGACACAGAATTGTTATTGAGGGACACAGAATTGTTACTGAGGGCCACAGAACCGTTACTTAGGGCCACAGAAACGTTACTTAGGGCCACAGAATTGTTACTTAGGGACAGACACAGAATTGTTACTGAGGGACACATATTTGTTACTGAGGGCCACAGAAACGTTACTTAGGGCCACAGAAACGTTAGGGCCACAGAATTGTTACTTAGGGCCACAGAAACGTTACTTAGGGCCACAGAAACGTTACTTAGGGCCACAGAAACGTTACTTAGGGCCACAGAATCGTTACTTAGGGACAGACACAGAATTGTTACTGAGGGACACAGAATTGTTACTGAGGGCCACAGAACCATTGTTTAGGGCCACAGAAACGTTACTTAGGGCCACAGAATTGTTACTCAGGGACAGACACAGAATTGTTACTGAGGGATACAGAATTGTTACTGAGGGACACAGAACCGTTACTTAGGGCCACAGAAACGTTACTTAGGGCCACAGAAACGTTACTTAGGGCCACAGAAACGTTACTTAGGGACACAGAATTCTTACTCAGGGACAGACACAGAATTCTTACTCAGGGACAGACACAGAATTGTTACTCAGGAACACAGAATTGTTACTGAGGGACACAGAATTGTTACTGAGGGACACAGAATTGTTACTGAGGGACACGGAATTGTTACTGAGGGACACAGAATTGTTACTCAGGGACACAGAATTGTTACTGAGGGACACAGAATTGTTACTCAGGGACAGACACAGAATTGTTACTCAGGGACAGACACAGAATTGTTACTGAGGGACACAGAATTGTTACTGAGGGCCACAGAACTGTTACTTAGGGCCACAGAAACGTTACTCAGGGACACAGAATTGTTACTCAGGGACAGACACAGAATTGTTACTGAGGGACACAGAATTGTTACTGAGGGACACAGAATTGTTACTGAGGGCCACAGAACTGTTACTTAGGGCCACAGAAACGTTACTCAGGGACACATAATTGTTAATCAGGGACAGACACAGAATTCTTACTCAGGGACAGACACAGAATTCTTACTCAGGGACACAGAATTGTTACTCAGGGACACAGAATTGTTACTCAGGGACACAGAATTGTTACTGAGGGACACAGAATTGTTACTGAGGGACACAGAATTGTTACTCAGGGACAGACACAGAATTGTTACTGAGGGACACAGAATTGTTACTGAGGGACACAGAAATGTTACTTAGGGCCACAGAAACGTTACTCAGGGACACAGAATTGTTACTCAGGGACAGACACAGAATTGTTACTCAGGGACACAGAATCGTTTAATTAAAGAGTATGTCAGACAACATGCAGAGGAGTGGCAGAGGAGGCAATGTTTTAGGAGCGAGCAGACGTGGCAGCAGAGGAAGGGGTCGAGGCAGCACTATTCGCAGCTAGAGGCCAGTGCTCCCGGTGTCATCCTGTACAGTGAGGAAGAGCTAACAGAGGGCGGTCAGGAACGGGGGGAGACATCCGCCTCTTCAGCAGCCAGGCGAAGAAGTAGTGGCGAGGAGAGTGGCTCGGTAGCCGGTCTAGAGACAGGTCTGTCTCCTGACCCACACGCAGCCGAGGGGGCTAGTAGTGAGGCGGAGACCCTAATTGATGATGATGAGGCTGATCGCACTTGGCAGCCTCGTCATCATCAGGCTATTGCTTCCGCATCATCAGGAGAAGAGGGTGGCAGCTTGGCAGCGAGCAAAACAGTCGGTGGGTTGTCTCCATCGCCACACTCTGCCATGTGCCACTTTCAGGTCTCCTCACACACTGCTGGTGTGTTCCATTTTTTGTCATAGGGTGCTGGCAGATTACGGGCCTCCCATAGCTGCTGCCAGGCCCCTAATCTGCCATGGGCCCCTGTACCCCCACAGCCTCCTCATGCTGCTGCCAGGTCCACAGTGTCTCATGCCATGTGCCACTTTCAGGTCTCCTCACACTGCTGGTGTGTTCAATTTTTTGTCATAGGGTGCTGGCAGATTACGGGCCTCCATAGCTGCTGCCAGGCCCCTAATCTGCCATGGGCCCCTGTACCGCCTCCTCATGCTGCTGCCAGGTCCAGAGTCTCTCATGGGTCTCTGTACGGCCTCCCATTGCTGCTGTCTCCATCGCCACACTCTGCCATGTGCCACTTTTAGGTCTCCTCACACACACTGCTGGTGTGTTCCATTTTTTGTCATAGGGTGCTGGCAGATTACGGGCCTCCCATAGCTGCTGCCAGGCCCGTAATCTGCCATGGGCCCCTGTACCGCCTCCTCATGCTGCTGCCAGGTCCAGGCGAACGTAGTCACACAGGGGAGGAACTTCTCAGTGTAATGAACAGAGAAATCGACAGATGGCTGTCTCCGCGCAAACTGAAAATCGGAACCATGTTGACCAACAACGGAAAGAACACGGTGTCTGCTCTGCGTCAAGGAAGGTTGTGCCATGCGCCATGCATGGCTCACGTGTTCAATCTGGTTGTCAAGCGGTTCCTAAAATCCATCATCCCACTGCAAGACATCCTTAAAATGTCACGTAAACTTTGCATGCATTTCAGCCATTCCTACACCGCAAAGCACACCCTCCTTGAGCTGTAGCGGCAGAACGGAATTCCACAGCATCGCCTGATCTTCGACGTTGCAACAAGGTGGAATTCAACCCTACACATGGTAGACGCCTTTACG